CCAATTCTGAGTTTGAATTACGAGAGGCCAGGGCACCCAGACAGACGCCATCGCTCCACCTTCAAGCCCTTGTAGGTGAACGACAAACGCAGCTGACACCGGAATCGCACCACCGTATTAACACCTACTATGCTTCCATCGACAAGGTGCTGTCCGAGCTTGAGCTCAGGTTTAGCAGAAATGACCAGGATATCCTCTTTGCTTTGGGAAATATCTGCCACAGTGAAACACCTGATAAAGAAAGCTTCTCCTGCATTGCTAAGTTTTACAACATCGACGGCGAGATTCTGGAAGCCGAGCAGAAAATGTACGCGAGTTTTCGTCATGTGCGCAGATTGGGCTACATGACTGTTTCAGAAATGCTAGAGACAATGCGTGAGAATGATCTATTCGATATGTTTCCAGAGTTTTCCAGTGTGGTGCATATCCTTGCAGTGATACCTGCTACATCGTGTTCAGCAGAGCGATCATTCAGTGCGTTGCGCAGATTGAAAACTTACCTCCGCAGCACCATGGGGCAACAACGTGTCAGTAACATTGCACTTATCAACATTGAAAGGGCGTATGCCAACTCTGTAGTCAACAATGACATGGATCGTATCATTGATACACAAAAGTGTTTTTTGAGCTCATATGATAGATTCATAGGTAAGAATATTTTCACTTCATATGTAGGCCATTGTTAGTGCATCGTATGAGCCTCGTTTCCTTCCGACTGTTTCGTAAAAATTTGGGCAACTTGTGAGAATTTTTTTGGGCAAATGGTTCACCGCCCCCCCTGGCAAAAAAATGCCCGTACGCCTATGAGCTCACCAACGAGCATGGGCACCCCACCTTTTTTTCCAGACATTGTAATCAACTTATCATAAGCTTTGCGCGAGAAAAGACTCATCTGATTTCTATTGCTGAAAATTGAATAAATAAGGAAAATAGCAAATACACTGTGGTCTTTTCTATTTGCCGTTTGGTAACCATGTCAAGAAATGTGGTTCAAATTTTAATCAAGGATTCAGCTCTCTGTCTAATTCAAATCCAAAATGTTTATTTGTGTCCGGCAAAATGTATTGACTTTAGTTTAATGCATGTTCTCAAAAGTCTCGGTCACAAAAGTTTACAATTATTACTGAGAAAGCGTTCTTCTAATAAGCACTGAATAATGCTAAAATGGGGCATTTTCAATGCCTGGGTGCACAAAGTTTAAACGAAAACCTATTGTCACTTTTATTTCAGAGGAATTATTTTAAGACCTCAGCTAAGAAAAAATGGCCAGAAGAAATGTGCTTAACAATCAATTACAGCTATCAGTTTTAAAATTTAGAATTGTCACTTTTATTTCAAAGGAATTACCTTAAGCGCGCTCTAATCACAAAAACTGACTGAAATTCTTTTTTATTATTATTGTTATTTTGTTCTTATTAGTAGTGGAAAAGAAAGAAACCAAGAATAATTACTTGGAGAAAGTTGACGATACATTCGCTTTTCGCTCACTGATCTTTAAACACGATGCAGATATGCACACTACGAACCCAGCTGTAAGTTACGGAAATAAAGAAGCAGACATTATGAGGTCTTTTACTTGTACGCTACACTGAGTGTCACTGTAAGTGTTTGAAGCTCTGATCGCAAGCAACTATGCAAATCACCAAATCGTAAAGAACGATCGAAAAAAAGTAAATAACCCATGACAATGCAGACTTCGGTAAATACAATACACACGCCATTGCCACATTTACACGCACGGTATCGAAGCTAATATTGATGCATTTCGAAATCGTTTGAAAAAGACTCTTTTTCTCTGAGTGTCCGTATTACTATACTGAAAATGTTCCAGGTCGGCAGGTACAAAACAGAGGTCACAGGTTACAGGTCATTGTTTTGCCGATACTGAAACAACCCAAACCCTTAGCAAACGCTAATCATAATCTATCATTAGGCCTACACACTTTATTGAGGCTTAAGGTTAGCATTTGTTAAGGGTTTGGGTTGTTTCAGAATCGGTAAAACAATGACCTGTGACCTGTGACCTGTGACATGTGTTTTGTACCTGCCGTGTTCCCGGTACAGTTTGCGTCTGTCCAGATCCCAGGTAGATGCCAAACCCTTATAGAATCTACACGATTAAGTATTCAAACACTGTTAGTTTTTAAAGATTAGCCCTCGAGACTACGGCATTACACAAGTTTAGAGTATTTCATTTTGTGTAGTCAATGCAATTTATTTGTAGTTTTCAAGAATATATGGTTAAATACATTATCTGCATAGTGATAAATAGTAGCCCCTTCAAGTGCTTTAGT